GCTTTCTTTACGTTTATGTTACTGTATTCAWAATAATAATCATGTTAATGTTCAAATCTGTTAAAACTATAAAATCAAACAGTAAAGAATATGTAGTTGTTGCACAATATTTTTGCCTAACCCACTTCTCTTTTCAGGTAAGGAACATGTTCTTGTCATTTGCTAATCATAAAACTGACATTGATTGGCTTATTGGATGGGTGTTTGCTCAGGTGCTTATTAAACATACCCCCTGATTGGTGTCCACTTATTTATGTGTGCATGCCACTGCAAAAGCATTGTTATGGATGAGTTTCTTAATGATGTTTACAGTGTTGCTTTGCAAAATAAAAATTCATGCAACCAATCTTATATGGTCTCATTGCCATCTCCGCAAAGGTTGTGCCCTTTATTAATATTCTTTTAGGAAGTGTTTGTTGTAGCAGGGAAATGAAAATAAAAATGATTGTGATTGAAAAATAAAAATGAATCTTCATTCCTTTCCGGTTTAATCTCGAATGAAAAACTGGACTTCTGGAAGAATGAACTCAGTAAATTACATAAAACCTAACAGATTCTTTTGTTTTCATTCCTATTAATTAATGATCAATATTTTTAACCAAACACCCTCTTAATTGTCATGTAACTGGATCAAGATTTCTTGGTAGGACATTGGCTGTTAGGAAATAGTAAAATATGATGCATGTGAAGCTCTTGAGATGAAGTTAAAACTTTTTATACGTGATGTTCCTACCTATTAAAATTCCCTCCTTCAAAATTTTGTTTTCTTTAATCTTGTCATAGTTAATTTATTGTGATAAATGTTATCTTTTAGTGAAATATGTGATGTATCTCGACCTTTTTGGATGAAATAAGCCACTTTTAAGTTTTAAATTTTTGCATTCAAAATTTATAATATCTATGTGTGGCGAAGGATCGTGTGAGAAGAGAATTTATGGTGAGAAGCGTAAGAATAGATATGTACCTTTGATCATTTTTAATCTCATGTCCACCCATGAATCGAGGGAATTGATCTGGTGTATCTCATTATATGCACCCCATTAATGTTGATATTCAATTATGATTGATCCAAAAATAAAGATCTCTTTTTACACTTCTCACAAAAACTTCTCTTCTCACTAGAACTCAGTTCATCTACACGTTTGGTCTACCAAAAACTTTAAGGTTTGATGCCATTAATATTTCATAGGAAAATATATATATATATATATATATATATATTCATTATAACATAATCTAGACTATTGTATCCATTAACGAAATGTTGTACTAATTTCAGAAGCTTGTAAATTGTAATCTTGAAAACTATAGCAGATTTACTCAAGTTCAAGTTTTAAAACTCACACATGTTGAAATTTGATGGAGTTATCTCCTCGTTTTTAACGCATTTCTTAATTGATCGTCGGGATTTTCTCCTTGACCGTTTTCCTTTTTACTGTCTCCTGGAGCTTGATTGCTTTTATGTTTTGTACCAAGATTTTGAAACAAATGGGGAAGATTTGAAATGGAGGCTCATCTATTTGCCTATGTTTATGTTAAACAAATTATCCGTTTGTGAAGCTTTAGTAGTTTATAGCTCTTTACAACGTTAGTGGAAGATTGTCCTAACGTCATCATGTAAAACTTCATCTAGTGCAAGAAGACGGTGAGAAGGTTGGTCAGATGACGACTGTGGAGATATATATATTTCTTGCATTTTCAACTTATACATAATGGATTCATCATGAAGTTACAATGGGCAAGGATGGTCAAGTGTCATAGAGCACATATCAAGCAAGTGGAATGTAACATTTGGGAAGGCTTTTTGTATTCTACCAGCAATACAACCCAAATGATCATAAATTTCTTGTCATATTTTGGACTTTAGAGGAGGATTATAAATATATGATTATAACGGAAAGAAGACTAGTATGAGATCGTGAAAAACAAAGATTTTTAGAGATCCTTTTCTCAAGAACTAACCATGTGCTCATTGGTAAATAAAATTGACTTGTATTGTTTATAGTATTTAAAACAATGTAAATAATAGTTGCATTAACTTTATATTCTTGGTTTTCCTTAAATTTTACATTCCACCGCATTGTGCACATATACAGCTACTATATATATATATATATGTATATATATATGTATATATATATACATATATATATATATGTATATATATATATACATATATATATATGTATATATATATATATGTATAT